GAAGCAGAAGTGGATTGATTATTGATTGTTGCATAGCAGTTGGAACCCTGGAAAGTTAGTTGACATTCACTCTGGACTTACTGAATTTTGTTGGGCCACATACGTAAATCTTGAGTCTGGGGGCCAGCTGTGGATGCTCAGTTTGGATGCTGTAGCCCATCTCTGAGGAATGGCCTCTTAATTTGTGTTTCTCACAGTTGAAAACTTGCTCTTGATCCTATTAAATTTATGATAACAAAGCCTAGTTAACATACCTGATTAGCTTCTCATGCGTACTGTTTACAGTATTTACATGAATCAGACTTAAAGTTTGTATTATTTGACTGTGGTCAGAGTTCGAAACTGTTGCAGGGTAGCTGTCGCTGTGGACGCGGAAAGCCTGGGTACCAGTTCTGGCCTTTCAGGCACTGGCTGTGTACTTGGGCACCTTGTCCCTTAAGCCTCAGTTGTCTTGTGTGAAAAGTGGAAATGCACTGATGACTGCATCCTAGTTGTTGCAAGGAATACTAACAGTTAATATTTTAGTGCCATCATTTTATTTTACGTTCTCCTCATTCCCCTGGCTTTCTCTGCACAGCCGTAGTCGTTGCTACCTCAAGGTCTTTGCACGTGCCACACCTGGTTCCTGATGCATATTCTATCCCAGTAACTCACGTGTGGCTCTTGCATAGGCTTCAGATCAGTAGTTGTTTCTCTTCAGAGATTCTCCTGACCCCTCTGTGAAGAAGCCTCTCTCCTCTAAGGAATTTTCTGCCATAAGCACCCTGATTTATTTTCTTTAAAGCACTCACACCTCTACCTGTCATTATACCCCACTATAACATTAGCTCCTCTATAGTAGGTACCTTGGCTGTCCTATTTATTCCCTGGCATCGTTCTAGCATCTAGGAACATAGTAGATAATAACTATACGAGTATTTGTTGAATGTTTGAATGAGTAAGAGTATAATCTAGACCATACATTTTTTGGAAATGGGACATTTTAAGATACCTTGAAATATGAACTTAAGAACAACATAGAGAAGACCAGATGCCAGGTAGAATGCATTTCTAATACAATGGCATACCATCTGTAGTGCTATTTTTTTTAATGACCTTTGGAGACATTTTATCAATAATAGAAAAATATACATGCAAACATTCTAAAGCAAGTACTCATACAGAACCTAATAAATGTGTACTGAGAAATCGTATTTTGGTAATTGCCTCATGTATACACAGTTCCCTTCTATTTCATAGTGGGTAGAATTGCACTTTAAGCGTATGCAGCATCAGTTAAGAGTCTCTGTATATTTAGGCTATAAATACCTTCTGGAATCCTTTGTATATGCCTTCTGGAATCCTTTGTATATGCACACTCTTGTAGAGAATATGTGCTAACATGAAAATGATTTTCATGGTTATGATATAAGTGTTCAGTAGACTTCCTCTTGTATCTTTGTAAAAAAAAAATGTAAAGAAACATTTTGCTTTTAGCTTTTCTTGAAGCTCATTAAGCCACATAAGCTACTTTGCTAAATTGCTTAGGAACAGATTGCTTAGAATGAATTAAGAACTTTATATGTTAGCCCTCATTGAGCCCTTAGTTGTATGAAACCTTGGCTGATGTACCTAAACTTTTTTCTCCATCTCTATGTAGAACATCAACCTTGTTACTTGGAAGATTAAAGATGATGTTCATGATCAAAGCGCATTGAGAAACTAGATACTGCTTTACAGTGTATTATTTTAATTCTATACTATGATTAGTTTCCAGTATTTTACATTTGATTCAGGGAAATTATGTCAGTAAATTCCTGCTACCTGGTCTCCTGCTGAGGTTTTAATCATTCTTATAGGTGGATGGGAAAGGAGCTAGTCCAGAAGCAGGTGGAAAACAACAGGCCTTAGGGGTGATTACTGAATGGGGCACCTAGGAGAACAGAAGTAAACAGAGCGAACCCAGTGTTTGGAAGAGCCATCCTTGAATTTAGGAGGGACGGAAGAGACATTATTTAGTGTATAAAGATTGTTTTAGCTCTGTTAGAGGGCCTCAAGCTTCTCCCTGAGAAGGGAGAAAAGGTCACCTGAGAATGAAGGAGACAGGGTAAAAGTTGGGCCTTTGAGGAAATTGTAGGAAGTTTAAGTAACCCCTATGGGAATAAATCAACACAGCGATTTTCACCCAGTGTGCCGCGGGAATTTTTAAAACATGCAATACCTGACTATTTAGTCAAGGGCACTGGCCTCTTTTCCCTTAGAGTGTCAAGTAAAAAAAATAACCACCAACACAACAATAGCCATCTGATGTGAATGAATCAAAATTATACCTGTATTTTTTGTCAGATCGGCAAAAAATATTTTTGTGTGTGCCACAGGATTTTAGTAATCTCTGTGTGCCATGAGATGAAAAAGGTTGAAAAACCGCTGAATTAACACAGGAGTGAGTAAAAACTTGCGCAACACTGAGACCTAGCTGAATAGGGACTTAAAAAAATTATTAAAAACACTAACTAAAAACTTGAGGAAGAAGAAAACCTATAACCCAGCTACGCTGACACTATTTTTTATTTGTGCATTTTACTGTCTAGACTTGTGTACATTTTTAAACCCTTTTAATTTTGCTTATTTTATTGAATATTATAGATTTTGATGTTATTGAATTATTATTTCAGTTATTTTTAGTGGCCACAATAGTATGTAGGTCTGTTCGCTAATTTAACAAACTGCCCTCTAATTACTGACTTGGGTAGGTAATTTCTAATTTTTAATGCTATTATTCTTGAAGTTGCAGTAGACGTTCTTACACATGGAACTTTGCCAGGTCTTATTAGTGGACCCAGTAAAGGTTTTCTACAGTGCTTCATGCAGAGCAGAAAGTGTATGGGCTTCGGTGTCACCTCCGTGAGGCCGTCATGGACCCACTGCGTTTGAAATGGCAACCCTCATGTCTGCTTCATTTTTCTGTGTAGCTTTTGCTGTCTTTCAAAATACTAGGCGTTTTATTTAACTTGAGTGCTCTTACCTCCCTTGCTAAGGATATGAGCTCCAACAGGACAGGGATTTCGGTTTGTATCACCGGCACCTAGAGTAGTGCCTGGCATATAAATATTTGCAGACTGGAGGGATTTCCCCAAACCTGTGGGTGAGATGGGTTTGAAGAGTGTCGGGATTCATGGAAGTCAGTGGGAGAACAATCGCAGTGAGTGGTCTTTGGTCTCTAGACCGGCTAGGAAGCAACAAAATCCACAGGGACAGTGAATTGGGACACTGAAGGGTTAGCACTTGGAGGTCATTGTGGCAACAGAGCCCATTCGTCTGGAGGGGAGAGCATGGGAGAGATGGATGGTAAATAGGTTGTTACAGCAGGGAAGGTCCCAACGTGTAGATATTAGAAAGAAGGTTTGAGAACTAATAGTGGCAAGGTTGGTTGAACACTGAACTTTGCTGGGAATGGACTGTTACCACTTTTTAATTATTTCTGCCTGGACACACAGCCCCGTCTGAGCTTGTGTTTGGCTTGCACTGAATGGTGGCATGTAAATCACGTTTTGCTGTCAAAGGCCTTTTCTTCCTGGAATATGGGCTACATGTGCGAATCTAAGTGAGCAAATATGCCAGTAATGTCTGTCAGACAAGTAGTTAAGCAGAGTATGTGACAATGTGAAACCAAGTTTCAAAGTTGAGTTTCCAGAGACGCTTCCGCCCTCACATATGGTAGAGCTGATGGGCTTCTTACTGAGTCATTCAGTTGAACTTTTACCAGTTGCACTGACGATTTTACAGGAACTTTTCTGTTTGAGGTCACTTTACTCAGAGTGCAGCAGCTTGGCAAATACATAAAGCATGTAGCATATCTAATATGCTAACTTCATTGTTAGCAGCTGGTGGGGAGTCCCTCTTGGGAATGAACACTATGGCAGTTGCTTGGGAGCAGCCTTAATTGTTACCCTCCCACAGCTTGTGGTTCTTCAGTTTGTTGTAAACTTTCCATGACCACGGGTTTTTACCTTTCAAATTCCACTTGTTCTCTGGTGAATTGTTAGTGACAGATAGGTATACTTTAGAAGAGAAAACACTGGAAAGAGAGTTGAAGCAGTGTCTCTCTCATATTTGTCAGTGGGTAACATGTTTATTACTTCTCAGTTCTTTAGTTTCTTCCATTTTAAATATGATAATGATCTTAAACATAACCTTCCTCCTTCTCCAGAATCTCTGGGATACTTTGTCAATCTACTGGTTTCTTAAAAAGAACCACAGAGATTTCATGTTTTCAGGCCTATCTCAGAAATTTTTTTTTTTTTTTTTTTTAACATACTTGTGCCTTTGTTGGCCTTATTTGTACAGGAGTTCTGTTGGTAATGCTACGAGTTGAGATAAGGTTTGTCTTTCAATGAAATAAAAAATTTAACCTGAAGTTTTGGAACCTAAGTGCTTCATTTAAAAAAAGGTTTGGTGCTTATTTTGACAAGTGTAACATGATATGGTATTGTGGTGATTTTTCTCTGTGCAGACGGGTTTGGGAATTTTGAAGGTGCTTCCTCCCCCAACTGTGAGCAACAGTTGGACTGCCCCTGCCTCGCATGGCTGGAGTGATTGGTTCTTCCCTGCCCAGTGGGATGGGCCATAATTAGTGTGTGGTGTAACTCATTTTAAGAGAAACAATAATAAGCCTTGCTTCTATTGAAAACCAGGCTAGAGCTGTTCTCCTTACATTTCCTCATTATTTGGTTGTTAGCATAATATTAACTATTTTAAGATCCCAGATTTCTTTTTATCTTGGTCAAAATCCTTAGGGAGGATGATTAAATAGTTTTTATTTAACCCATTGGTGGCCTCTTGTGAGGAGGGTGGAGAAATCAGTTATATGCCCAAGTCACTGGGGAACTGTCCAAACAAAATTCCTCCAGCAGAGCCTCTGAGAGACATCCGGTGGGCACCTTTACGTACGACTTAGAGGGTGAACCCGGTGCCTGGGAGGCAGGACGTGTCTGTATTAACCAGGGGTTGCTTGCTTACAGGGAGAATGCTGGAGAACCAGATTCCTGGAGCAGCTTATCCTATGAAATCCCGTGTGGAGACTGTTCTGTGAGGCATCATCGAGAGCTGGACATCTACACGTTAACCTCAGATTCCCAGTCACATCATGAACCCCCATTTCCTGCCGACAGTTGCACTGAGCACATTTTTAAACTTATGAACATCCAACAGCAGCTAATGGTGAGGAAGAAAATTTCCATTTTCCGACTTCTGTGCCCTTTCTCCTTCCCCCAATGAACCTTGCTATAATTAAAACGAAAATGCTTCCCTCAAAGATTGTGAAACCTGTAAATAAAGCCCTTTTAGCAATATTCAATGTGACCTCTTATAGATGCAGAACTAGCATTGCGGTTGTAGCAATAGGGGGCTGAGAGAATTGTTCATTGGATTGTTGCCATGTTTCTGAAATACTGAAAGATACACAGATACATTGTAGATACAGAAATATGTAACAACCAGAACTAAATTTTCCTGACATGAAAGGAAATTTGCTTGTTTAATTTTATAGATTTGTTGGTTTAACTTTATAAAACTAAATGAGCAAAATAGCTTCTGATATGTTGATAAAAAACAAGAACCAGATCTGCTCAGAAAAAAGCCTTTTCACAGCTATTTCAATGAGTGATGATAGTGCCACTACACTGAAATCAATAGTCATGTGGTAAAAAGATCACTAAAAAAATAAAGATTTTATAATCCACTCAAAGCCTTCAAGATGAAGTTGTTGCCAGACATAAAAACATTACAGGCTCCCTGATAGTATTTATTATGGATAATACAAACGTCATATGGACACATCTCTCCTGGCCATAACATCTGAAAGGCTAAGTTTAGATCAGTTTTCCACCCAGTTTATTTCAGAGATGATTTGATTTGGAAAAAGCTTGACAGTAATTTCATTTAAGGTCATCCCGGGTCAGCCCAGCGCCCGAGGCCTCTGCGGGAGCAGGCGCTTCCCTGTGGGGCGGCGGGGCTGCCCGAGGGGCGGCCTCTGCCCTCCCACTCGTGTGTGTGCCAGGACAGCTGTCATTTCGTCCTCCCCTGACTGACTGTCCAGGGACGCAGGTTTTCCTTCAGAGCTTTTTTTTTTTTTTGCTGGGGGAATCATATTCCATTTGAAAATATCAGTTTGCAGGTGTCAAAGCGACCTGCAAGGTATGGGACAAGAAATTATGAGAAACTGGAACTGCCAGAGGATGCATGTGTTCGGAGCATCTAACAAGTTTCAAGAAACTACTTTTTTCTCCAAGTCTCTGTTCTATAATGTTGACCCTTTATTAAATTTAATGAACTGCTCTTGTAATTTTTAGGAAACTATTATACTTTCAACAGGAATGGAAGCAAGTTAATTTTGAATATGCTAAGGAGCATAGGTCAGAAGCTTGGAGTAGAAATCCATTTTTCTTGTCCTGTCTTACTGGAAGAACTTTAGTGAGCACAACAGATCTTATACTTGTATGTGTAAACTCTACCATAGACCCAGTGAGCAGGCAGGAATGGTGTTCTGATGGTGGAGTGCTGTGCGTCCTCGGCATGTGTCCTGAGTGAGGAATTGAATGAGGGGACAGGGAACAGTAACTGTGCGTGAAATTATTGCAGAAGATTACTTGATGAGTTCAGAGCAAACCCGGTGTTTTAAAAATAATTTTTATGTACTGAACAAACAGGATTACTCTAAGAATTCCTGAAATTGTAGTATGAAGGCGAACTCGCCCTAAAGATCATCTGTACTTGTTTATTCTCCATTTTTCCTAAGCCTTGTCTACATGTGTATGTGATTTCAGCATAATTATAACCCTTAGATTAAGGATTTAATTTTCTTCCACATCGTATTATAATTATTTTTTGCTGATTTCACTTTGGTCTTTGTAGTCGACATTTATATATGGCATAGCATTTTCCGTCATTTTGATCAACCGTGATTATTTTAACCGTTACCAGCAGTGGTTATATCTGTTTACATTTTAAAAAATTCTTTAAAGTTGCAAAAACTATTTTTAATATGACTTAGAATATTCTGAAGCCACAGAACTGTCTGAGAATAATTGAGATTTAGGTATTATTAGTTTGATATTATTTATTTAATATTCAGTATTAGACAACAGAGGCACTGACGCTATCAAAAAATAAAAGAACATCTGCCATGCCACTCTTCTTGAAATTGCGGTGCAGAACTAAAATTATCAGGCTAGATTGAGTGGAGCATATTCTAGGGCTTAAAGGACACTGTGCTCCTCATTGAGAATTTAGGGCCCAGAGCTTCTGCCTGAGCCTTGTAGTTATAGAACATTGACCCAGCTGATTAGAGTTTGCTTTTACTTATATGTGAGGCGGGGGGAAGATGCCTTTGCCCCCGTAAAGACCTTAAAAAAACCAAACTTCCTCAATTACTTCTTTGAAGATAGTCACTGTGCTTTTAAAAAGGAGGTTTTGATTCTCCATTTTAAGCTACTTTTCTAAAATAAGTTTATTATATATATAATAATACATAAGAATCTATATATTATATATTATATATATATATAATAATACATAAGAATCTACGTTCTTGTCCATTTTTATCATTCCAGTGGTTGTGTAGCTATAAGGGAAGAAAGTGCTATCAGGGACAAGAGAAAATTTACTTGTATTTATTTAGATCAGCTTATTGTATGACCTAAGAAGGGCTGGCGTGGTAGTGAGTACTGTCCAACAGGATTTTTATTTATAGGTGTGACTGACATCTTTTCCCATGAACAGTTTTTTAAAAATATCTTTCATTTCCTCTCAGAAAACAAACCTCAAGCAGATGGACAATCTTATGCCCTTAATGGTGACAACACAGGACCCTTCAGGCCTGCCCACCGCCCAAGACGCAGATGGCACACTCCTTCCCTGCACGTCCACGCACAGCCAGCAGCTTCCTTCTCCTCCTGCAAATGTGGAGAGTGCTCCGGGCTGTCCCGGGAGCACCGCGGGGCACCCTGGGCATCCCTCCGGTTTATCCAGCGTGGCTAAGGGAGAGAATACAGGCTGTTCCTGTGGGAAGGACAGTAACAGCGTGGAGGGAAAAGAGGAAGAGGCGGAGGAGCCAGCACCCCCTGTGGACTCTGGAGCTGTGTCTCATCCCGACAGCTGTGTTCAGAGCATGGCTGATCGCAGAGGGGAGGGGACAGAAGGTCCTCCATCCTGTGAAATCAGGCGGGAAGAAACTAGAACCAAACTTGCTGCAGTGGCCTCAGCTCAGGAGTCTCCAAGCAGCGCAGGCAGCGTCCTGACAGGAGCCTCGGTCACGGAATCAGGCACGGCCCAGCTTTTCTCTGGAGGCGACCTGGTAGCAGTCAGCTCAGCAGCAGATGCCAGTGTCCCAGAGTCTGCAGGGGAAGCGGAATGTGGTCTGGTGAACCCAGATGCCACCTCCCAGAAGAAGGTGCCCGCAGTTGGGCACAGTACAGAGGAAAGATTTGAGAACTCTAACATCAGCACAGCTGGAGCCTCTGATGCAAATGGCACGCAGAAGCCTGTGGATAAAACCGTTGTTCCAAACTGTGTTTCTGCCACCAGGCCCCAGGAAGGTGACAGACCTGCTGAGTCTTCTCTTGCATTGAGTAATGGAGAAACCTCCATTGAAAAAACTGCAGAAACTGAAACTTCAAGACGTTGTGCAGGGAGCACTGGTGGTACAGCGGACCAGAGCCCTGTCATCGTCCCAGCTGCTGCAAATGACAAGGTTGCAGACGGATTCGAACCTGATGCTCCCTTAGCAAACACGTGTGGGGCAGTGTCGCTTCCCAGTTTAACCTCCCCCAGGCCACAAAAAGATGTTACGCCAAACCAGACACCAGAAATGAATTCATCTCATGTTCAGAGCCAGAATGGCCAACTGCCTATCTGCTCTGCAGCTGGCCATGATGAACTTCGTGCTGTCTCTGCATGCCACCAGGACACGGTGACTTCTAATGGTGCGTTGGCTTCCAAGCATTGCGGTGACGTAGTCACTCGGCCTGGAAGTGCCACTACAGGCCTGCCCAACGCACAGCACGCGCTCACTGCTGTCCTCTCAGAAGACCCACAGGCTAACACAGCCAGCCCTGACTCTGTGAGACACACCCAGGAAGATGTGGGTTGTCATCCTCTCAAAGAGTCGGGAAAAGAGGGGCAAGCAGGGGGTTTGAACTTAGAAGCACCTTTAACAAATACACTTGAGGTGGTTCCGCATCCACATGCCATTTTCCCCAAAGTAGAGGAAGAATCAGCGCCAGACGGGGCACTGTCATCAGGCAGGACTTTCTCTCTGGCATGCAGTCCAGGCAGTGAATCAGTAACCAAAGATGACGTGCTTGTCCCCTCCCAGAAAGAAAAGGGAACAGCAACTCCTGAACCACATACCGCTACAGATTGTAGAGATGGTGGAGATTGGAGTGATACGCAGCCACTAGAAGACAGTGCAGCGGGCCTGTCCGCGTCCACAGCCCTGGATCTTCAGCCCAGCATGGGGAATACCAGTCCTATGGGATTTGGTGGGGAGCAGGAGGGTCCCTGCCCCTCAGCAGCCCCTGAAGTCCTGAATATAGACGGGGGCACTGACTCTCCTGGGCTACATAAGGGTAAGGCCTCTTTGGCCTCTGATTCCAATTTGACTGAAGAAGGAAGAAACTCGGTGGTTCCGGAACACCCTGCAGCTCTGGGGCAAGATGACAAGTTTAAGGCAGTGATTTGTTCCTCCGTTAAGGAAGACAGCCTTCCTTCAGGAGTGCTGCGGGAAGAGCAGAGAACCGACCCTCCCTGGCAGGAGCTGCCAGGAGGCCATGGAGAACCTAGCTCAGCTTTCTGTGCCGAGGACCGAGCGCTGGAGCACAGTAATTCACGGGACACACCCTTGGCCTGTCTGAACGCAGAAACTGAACACAATAAGGAAGTGGCCCCACCAGCCTCTCTGCTGACTGAAGGTGGGGCTGCACAGAGCCCGGTGCAGCTGGGAGCAAGTCTGGCTGCAGACTCAAGCCAAAAAGCCTTGGGCGCAGAGCAGAGCGGCTCACCTCTGCTACCAGGCCTATTACCAGACAGGTCTGAGGCTCTTCATTGCAATGGGGCTTTCGCTCTGGGTGTTGGAGTGAAAAACACTGAAGCCCAGGGAGAGACCCCCACTTGTGAGGCCAGAGGAAATATGGCATTGGATGTTGCAGTGGTTAATGCGCTACAAGGAACTGTTGAAGCCAGAAGAAAGGATCCATCCCACAATGCTGAAGACCTCCCGGTTCCAGGAGTCTTGCTGAGCCAGGAGAAGAGTGTGATCCAGGGTTTGCCAGTCGCTTTACCAGGCAAAGGCGAGACTGACCTTCCGGTTGCTGCACGCCCTGAGGTGGCGACTCTTGGTTGGGAGAACGGGAAGTTGGAGGGAGCCGGCAACCTCAGCTGTAGCATGGGCGACTCCGAGGGCGCACAAAGGAATGATGACGCACACCGTGTCCTGCTGCAGCCTGTTGCCAAAGAGCTCCCCACAGAGACAGAGCTCTCAACCAGGGGTGACAAGGCTCCATGCAGGGACAGGGATGCTCCCCCTGTACCTTGTACTGTGTCTGCCGAAGCTGGACATCTGCTTAAGAGAGCAGACTCGATCGATGAGGCTGCGAGTCGTATTGTGGATGCCGTCATAGAACAAGTCAAGGCCTCGGGAGCCCTGCCCACCGCAGAAGGGGAAATCAGTCACATGTCACCCTCTAGCCCTTCAGAATCAGGCCCAGGGACCGAACAGCTGGAGAGCGCTTCTGTGGGAAAAGCCGTCACTGTCCTGCCTGAGGAGACCCCACATGCGGGCAGTGTTCGTGATGCGGCCCCTGGGAGCCCTGCAGGATGTCTTGCTGGGAGGGAGGAGCCAGAGAAGATAATTCGGCCTGTTCTAGGACCTGAGCCGGCAACAGGTGAGAAAAGCATGACACAGAATTCATAGCTTGAGAGGCAGATGCTCCTAAGAGTCTTTGTGCCATGCTGGTAGAAATAAAGGTGTCTTTGTTGTTCGGAGGTCTTGCGTTGCTTGGGTGGGTTGCCAAAGTTAGCAGTCACTGCACTCAGGGGAAGTACATCCCCTGAGGGCTGAACAGATTTTGCTTCCTGTTACAGACTCCTGGCTTGATCGCTGGAGTCTGTAAATGCTCGTCTGTCACACCGGGGCAGGTGCAGCCTTCCTAACCTGCAGCACCATGTCTGCCAGCTCCCTGGTGCTCTGAAATGACAAAGGGGTTGGGCAGGTGTTTTCATTCACATGGCTTCGTTCTTTTCTGTAGAGCCATCAAAAACAGTGCTGAAAAAATGTGTGTTATTTGCAAGCCTAAAACTCCTTCCTTTCTCTGTCATCCTAGTCTGTGTTCTGAGCAAAGTTAGAGTCAGCGTGGTTTCGTGGCTAGCCGTTCAGTATCGCTCTAAGCCAATGGCCCAACATCCCAAATGGTGGCATGAGGTCATTGGGGAGGGGTGGGGGCAGGGAACGCCCTCCTCTTCCTGCCCAAGGAGCAGGCCTCCCATCCGCGGCCTGCTGCTTTGGGGCAGTAGTCTGGGAATGCGGGACCCTGCGCCGTGCAGGGATAGGATGCAGGATTTCCGCCCCAGCCCCGTCTGCTAGCTGCTGTCACAGGACAGACGTGGTGTCTGCTTATCTTGGTGGAGCAGCTGCACCGAGCTGATTGCTCACCCAGCCGCCCGTTCCATCTTTGGGCAACCATGTCTAGAGGCAGCAGAGAGAAAGCACCACTGCTGGTTGGAAACCAAGCCTCTGAATAAAGCTGCTTACCGGGGGGTTGAGGCCGAAGCTGAAACTGGAGTCAGAGTCGGAATTACTCCTGAAGTCTTTCGAGGTCAGTTTGGTTCACTTTGATACCACCACCTGTCACCAGGTATAGACAGAGGACCTGCCTCCATGTTTGCCCCCAGGCTTGCCCCCAGGCTCTTGTAGGTAAGAACTAGCCGGTTTTGTTTTTATGGTTTGATTGTGTTTTTGCTGTTCTTTTCTAATTTTTGAAAGTCCCTTTAAGTGTAGTATGTGTGAAGAGTGTGGGGGCGGGTTGTGTAGAGAGTTGAACAAATAGAACAAGAAAAGAAGTTGCTTAGGAAATAGGGCAGGGCGAACATGGTTGTCATTTCCCCGATTAATCATTTTTAACCATTTATAATCTCCTCCCCCCCAGCTGAGGGGTTTGAGAAACCTGTGGTGGTATTTTTTGGTGATTTTAGTTTCTTATTGTTAGTGACAGAAATGTGTTGGCTGCTGTCACAGAATTTAAATGAGAAGGTCTCTAATTTTTGAAGTAAGACACAACAACAAGTCTATTTTGGGGGCCCTGGCAGGTCGACATTTCAGAAGAATGGGGATGGCTGTAAGCTGATGCCTGGCTGTGTCCCTTTCATCTGGGCGCTGTGTCTCTGGCCACATGGGCTGGGATTAGTAATCAGAATTTAACCCAAGCAAGTGTGAGCTGTATGAGTTTTCTGTCCGTAGTGCCCTACGAGAAAAGGTAGAAACTAGGGAGGCTTTCAGTCTTTCCTGTATTTATGTACAAATAAATATCAAAGACGCTAACAAATGGTTTTTTAAATGTTAAGATTTTAGGGAGGAAATGAGATGAACGCCATTTCAACAGTGTTTCTGGGTTTGGGGTTTGTCGATATGCGTGGGTGAGTTTCTTGTTCTGCTACCAAGAAGAGTCATGGGTGCTCTGTGCTCAGGGCCTCGTAGCCAGTGAAGAGAATCTGTGCTTTCTTCAGAAAATATCCTGGATTGGGGAAAACCCCTGGTCACATTGTGCTGGAAAAGCACCTGAGTGTGATTTCAGAGCAAAAGGGAATTTTTCTAGGAAGTTTATATTCCAGTCATGACTATACCATCCCGTTTTGTGAGTGAAGAGACATGAATTTAACTGCTGATTTGGAAGGAGCCCCGGGGCACTAGCTTGTTTCCATATGCTGCTGTCGGTCACGCCACAGAGAAACTGAAATGGGAAAACACTGCTTCTGGTTAGAAACAGGGCCTGTGGCCCTTCACCCATCGAGAGCGTGGATCGCAGTGCCTTGGAACACGGCTGTCCGGGTCGGAGCCAGGCCAGTGCTGCAGAAGCCGCCGGCGCCCGTCAGGCCTCAGCAATCACTGTTTACCATTGTGACTCTGCCGCTCGCCAGAAACACACGTTATCAGTCGGGGGGGGGGGGGGGTCAGGGAGAGTGAGGCTGTGCCAAAAATCACATCCCCAAGTAAACAAAATAAAATTCAAAACGATACAAAAAAATACTCTGCCTCACTTTGAAATATCTTGAGCAAGGGATACTTCTAAGGGTATTGCTTGGTCAGGGGATCCCTTGGTCAGATTTTTAAAATTTAATCACATTTTTTTGAACTATAAGACAGATTTTGGTTCCTTGGGTGTTTGGGTTTTTTGTTTTGTTTTGTTTTGTTTTGCCTATTTTTAAGTTGCTAATAAGATTATATAAGGGCAAATATTTATAAATATTAGATTATAGAAGTGTAACTTTCCTAAATATAAAGTAGACCTTTGTGCATGTTACCATGTGCTATTAGAACAGAATCTTAATATAATTTATTCTTTGGTGAAAGAAACCTCTCTGTTGTTTGGTGTAGGCAACAGTTTTCTCTGCCAGAGCGGTGGCATGACTAGATTAATAACAGCCACAGAAAAGTTTCCACGTGAAATTGAGGTGATAGTTCCATTTGTAAGTGCATTATCAAGGTGAATTTTGACTGGTAAGTCAGCAGTCCCCCTCAGACAAATGCCAAAGCCTAAATTTGTTGCATTGCATCACTTCCTTCCTGTATTTGCTTGACCATATGGTGGTCAGGTAACAAAAACCACCACTATTTGGCCTGTGTTGAGCATAATTCTAAAGAAGACACTTGCGATTCCTAGTTTGTGACTGTGTCTTGGTTTGGGAAGACACAAAAGTTAAAACAAAAAATAATCTGCTAGAATTGTTCAGTCTTATCATTTGCAGTTCTTTAGTGTGTGTAGTATTTTTTAAAGAAGGACTCGTCTCAAAGCCTGTATCTCATTTTCAGCGGTCCTTTCTTTTTGGTCCTGTACGAGTGCAAACCGCTCTTGCCTCCTTGATGATGGTCAGAATGGGCCGCCTGGCTTCAGCTGTCAGTCTGTTGCCTGGGAGCTTGGGGCTTTACTTTTCCATGTGGAAGTCAGGGCCACACTCAGATTTGTCATGAAAAGTCAGTAGTGAAAATGGAAGTTCAGTAGACATTGAATTGGGCCTTCCCTTAGCTACAGACCTATGCGAAAGCTAGGGAGCCCATATGACCATGTGATAAAGGTCAGAAATGACACCGATTCCTGCAAGCAAGAGCATTCTTTTCCCCCTTAGCCTAAAGGCAAAAACAAACAAAACACATGAAACCTAGAGCCTGTTGTATAAATAGCTGTATAAATAGGCACAGGAATCAATTTTTCAAATGCACTTTGTAACCCCCGTGTTCTCTTCAGAAATGCCAGACACAAAAGCTGAGGACGAAGTGGATTTTCTGAGTAATGCCAGGGGGAGCTCAGTTTCTGAAGAGGTGGCTGTGGGCGACTCTGCCACTACGCCTAAGGTGACGAGACAAGGCCCGAAGACCCAGGCGGTAAGTGGCCTCGAGTCTATACCAGCCCAAACTGTGTTTAGTGTGGTCTGGTGTGTCTGATTTACTGCATTGTTTTTTTGTTTTGGAGATTTTTTTTTCCAAGTGGTATTTTTCCCCTTCTCTCTTGTTTTGTTTTATTACATATACATGTGGATATGCTCTTACAGTTAGGCTTTCATAAACGGGGCCCACCCCAGGGCAGAGATCTGCCGTGGGCCTTTCTGAATGGGTCCCTTGGGGGTTGTAATGAAAAAGATTTTCCCTGTGATCACAAGGCTTTTCAGTTTGTCATCACGTTTACTGTGTCACAAAAAGAGAATTACCCCCAAAGGGATTTGTTAACCCTTTTTAAACCTCTTTTTATTTCTTTATATAGAAACTAATACCAGCAAAAATGAGAGTTTAACTGATAGTTCAATATTATCTGTGTACAATATGAAGTGTGTCATTTTTAGTGATGGAAAAAATGCTTAGGTTTTTTTTTCCGTAACAACTTTGTTGAGATGTAATTGTTTTTATAACAGCTTTATTGCGGTGTAATTCATATACTATAAAATGCGTCCTTCAAGTAAAGTGCACATTGTAGCAGTTTTTGATAGATTTACAGCGCATGCAACTGTCAGGAGTGTCTAATTTTAGAACATTACCATTACCCCACAAGAGAAGCCCCACACTTATTCCCATTTACCTCTCCTTCCCGCCCGCCCCCAGCTCCCGGTGGTCACTAACCTGTCTGGATTTGTCCATTCTGGAACTGCATATACATGGAATTTCACAGCATGTGGTCTTTTGTGACTGGTTTCTGTCACTTAACACAATGTTTTAAGGATCACCCATGTTGTAACATTGATCAGTATTGCATTTCTTTTTATTATTAAGTAATATTCCATTGTATAGGTGTACCACATTGTGTTGTACACTTGGGTTGCTTTTTGGCCAAGTGTGAATGATTTTTGGCTGTTGTGAATAATATTGCCATGAATACTTGTATACAGGTTTGTGCGGAAGTAAATTTTCATGTACCTAGTAGTGGATTTGCTAGATCATATGGTAATTCTGTATTTAATGTTCAGTAAGTTTTAAAAAATGTTTTTCTTAAGTTTCTTGAAATTACCTTTAAAGCAAGGAAACTTTAACTTGTAGAGAGAAACAGTGTTTTCAGTTTTAGATTCCACTCTGAGTTAAAAATAAAAAAAAAAAAACCTTTCGGAAGCTGAAAATCAAGTTACTGGACTAAATCATGTTGCCTCTCAGAGTCAGTCTTCCTTGTGTAGACGAGATGGTGCACTGCTTTTGGTCTTCAGAGGGCTAAGTGGTATATTTTCTTAAAGTTACACTAGTCGGTAAACGGCACTGTCCCCTCCCAGACTGGTTCAGGTGTATGAACTGTGATGCACAAGCTCGGTTTTATTGGAGCGCAGGGGCAGGGAGGTGCGACCTGCTGCGACCCACTCCCTCCTACAGATGCCATTCGTGACTAATGCCTGGGTGGCACTTGGAGAGCAGGCGCTATTCAGACAAATGTTGCTTTTGCTTCGGGGGAAAGAAAAGAGAACACACCCAGCATGGGTGCGTGTGTCTTTGTTTCCAGAAGCCCCTAAAAAAAGAGAAGGAACAAACCTCACATCCTTGAATTCAAATGCCTCTGTTTCTCAGCGCCGCCCCCTTAAACCTGCCACAGACCCTTTTGCTTTCCTATAAGAGGGTATCTCTGTTGTATCTTGTCTATTACAAAGAAGAAAACAAAACATTTTAAAAAAATAAACAGTCCCTCATCTCTTCCCTGTTCTCTTTTTCCCTCTAGTTGTAGGCGTTGAGAGAGATAATATTCCCCTGGTCTTGTGGGTTGGTCAGCACACCTCCTTTTATAGATAAAGGAATTAGACATTCAGAGAGTCACGTGACTAGCTCCAGAGGAGGCCCAGCTAGAATGGGTGTGTGGAACTTGATTTCAGACCAGGATTTACACAGCAGGGCGCATTTCCTCCTGATCCTCAGCCCTGCTCGGAGACCAGTGGCTCTGTTGTCAGGAGCATCGACCGGTTGGAACCATGGCACTTGCTGAGGGGGATACCTGTGCTTCAAGCTTTGTACCTGCTGCTACTTCCTATAGTTGGAGAAAGCAGAGGTTGAGGAATTTTTAGTCCTTGAAGATTGTCAGGTCTGAATAGTGGAGATTTTTGTATTCATAGCACTCTAGCAATGTGAAATCTGACGACTTACCTCTCCTCCCTGTTGCTTTGCCAGGCTTGCCCTGGTGGCTCCGAGTTGAAAGGACAAGGCATGGGCACACGTGGCTTTAGTGTTTTCCTGTGTTCCATTTTCTCCCCCCCACCCCCACCCCGCCCCCAGGGAACTCTTCATATGCTGTACTGTGTACTGTGTCGATTTTCGTTCGGTCAGGGGAGAGAAGTCCACAAACTTTTTCTGTAAATGTGGACAGTAAATATTTTAGGCTTTTGGAGACTTACTCGTACAGTCTCTGTTACACCTAGTCAGTCAGCCTTGCTATTCTAACATGAAAGCAGCCCTAGGCTGTGTGTAAACAAGAGTGTGATTGCGTTCCAATAAAACTTTATTTATAGACACTAACATTTGGATTTCACATAATGTTCATGAATTAGGAAATACTCTTTTTTGGATAACTCTTTCTCATTTAAAAATGTGAAATCTACTTTTAGGTTTCATCGTAGGCTGTACAAAAACAGGCAGTGGGCCCCTGGCCTAGAAAATACTGTGCATCAGGGGATGAAAAGAGAAAAAGCAAGTAGACTTGGTTTCTAAATTGCGTTACTGGTTTTGTGGCAAGGGCTCTAGTTACCAGCTGCGAGTTGGGAGGCAGAGAGTTCCAGTCCTCTGTCTCTCCAAACTGGCTTTTCCACTTCGCTTCTGCACAGTTCAGTGCCCTCATCTCTGTTTATCTTCTAGCTGTAACCTCTGGAATCTGTGTGTGCCGTCTGAAGAGGGTTACTTGAGCTTGTGGTTGTAGTTGAGGGTGGAGTGGCGTTTGTTTAATATTATTTAATCCGATCTTTCTGACACATGCCCAGTCCCTGTGTTGGCTTTGGGAATAGGCCAGTCATTGCTTCATCGAATCATTGTTTCTCTGAGTCATCCTCTTCTAAAGGTAAAATGGAAAGAATTTGTACATCTTAATGTTTTGCTGCTCTCTTGAAAACCTAAAAGAGTGATGCATTTATGACAATTTTCTTGTAGATGTAAGTAAAGAATCTCACATTCTTTTAGGAGCCTTCCTGCTTGGTAATCTTCTCTCAACATACTGTCAGTGCATAGGGACCTCTGGGGAGTGTGGCGCTACTAAGTATTTGAAGAAAAACAGGTTTGGGTTCCTGTTTTCTTTAGTCCAGTAGTCTGACATTTGTCATACCAACGGAGGAGTGATTTTTCATTCCTTAAACTACTTGCCCTTTTGTGCGGTACATAAGTCCTATCTTCAGAGGTCAGCGGTGGTGGAAATCATGATGCGTGAGGGAGTTAGGCACTGTCGAGACGGATGCCGGCTTACGTGCTCAGGAAAAACACCCTTGGGTATTAACTGCGGCAGGTTCTTCCATAGGTGATGGGGGTCCTAACGGACATTTCTTCCCTAGGTTGAAAATTGTTCACAATTTAGGAGTCCAGGTTCTTTACACACAGAATGTGGTCTATTCCCATTAGTCATTTTATCAGCATTTTATGGTTGTGGTTTGTTATTCAGTATTGCCAAAGCTTTAATATGAAGTTACACTATAATATTCAACATTATCCCCTCTTACATACTTCACTGGTTTCAAGATTCTCAGATTGCCCCTGTTGTCTTCTTTTCGCCCCCTCAATGAGTTACTGTGTATCAAGTACTGACAACAGAGCCTGCATTATTACTAATTAGTTTCATGACTTCAGATTCCAGTATTCTTTTCACTCATTTAAGTAACTAGTGGCATGTGGTGGTTCCTAAAACAATCAAGACTCATTTTCTGCTTCTTGAACATTATTACAAAAGCTTCAGGAACCACATCACACCTTAATTTAGGATGGGCTACTTGGAGCTTGTTTTACCTCTGAGACATTAAGAATTTTAATGAACCTTGAAGATTATCTGAAGTTCAACACCTTTACTTTAAAGTAGGAGAAATGAACGCAGCATGGTTAAGTGACTTGCCTCATTTCAGTAGTTAACAACGCTGTAAAAGCTAGACTAGAATCTCACTTCTATGTTAACAATGCTTCCACTGTACTTACTATGGTTTTAAGAACAGCCATCCTGAAGTTACACTTCCGGGGAGTCCAGTTCCCTTGGATGGGTTTCAGCACTTAAAGTGCCCCTGATTGATGCTTGTACACACCAGGATTCTAAAACCACTGCATTGCCCTCTTGTGTTTTCATTGATAGTTGGAGAAATTCCATAGACCATTTTGACCAAAGCTGATACACTTTAAAGGAAGTCTTGTGTTCTCATTATAATCTATTTACCTTCAGCAAAATACCACCAGGATGGTGTTTGTCTAAGTTTGTTTTTGGTGCAGAAATTACTGATTTTCCAGACCTGCCTTTGGTTTTCTAAAGAATGATATGACTAGGTTTAGAGATGCCATTGAGTCCTTTAGTCCTGAATAGAAGCCTTTGTGGATGCTTCACCTTGAGACTCTGCTCCCTGGCGGCCAGGAACGGATTCTGACTCCCACTCCCCTTCCCCACGCTGCAGACCGGCATGCTCCCCGTCCTGTGCGAGCCTTCCCTTCAGCATGTGGCCAAGGTCATTAGAGGGAACATGCCTCCCTGGGTTATCAGTTCACCGAGGTACCTGCAATAATTCCTTTTCCAGATGCTCCTTGCATAAGTGTATGAGCCTTATGGAAATTCAGCAGGCCAGTTTGTCTTGTCAGGATGCCCATGGTCCTAGCAGCCAAATACTCAGGAGCAAATGTGTTCAAGCACAACTCTAATATCCCATATGTTGAATGAGTATTAGGTTACTGGGAAAATCTACTCTTCAATC